ATAAAAGCTTTTCTTCGATTACTGATAACTTTTCTTGTTTAACAAATACTTCTGCTTTCCCTTTATCTGACAGTTTTCATTCTGTATTTATAGCTAGTTTATCGCATGCCACAAATAGTCGTTCAGAAAAATAATCGAGAAAGAATAACCGATTCGTTTGTCATATAAGACACAATTTACGCCCTAACTAGTCATAATTTTCTTTAACGCTTTTTTACATTTTATGTAAAAAAGTATATATATTATTTATAAGAATAATGCCTTAAAAATATGCACTGCTGTGTCGTATTATGATTTCACATTATCATTCAGCAAGATAGTGTAATAGTTATTCAGTACAATCATTGATAATCAGTAATTATGACTAATTAATGATAAACATAGACGTCAAACATCATTAGTCAGAAAATATATACATATTTGTACTTAATTTATAATTAAATTAATTGTTTAAATAAATTAACAAATAAATCGATAATCATTCAAGTGTAATAAACAAATTTGCTCACCGGTCGATGCGCCGCTATCACATCTTACTCCTTCCTGGTTCTGGCCGTTGCTCTGCTCTTTTTTGCTGCCAGTTGCTCCTTCACATCCGACGATCATCCATGTGGATGCATTCGTGAAATATTCTTGATCACTATGCACTCGGTCGTTATGATGCATTTAGCCCATTAATGTATTTGCATTTCGCGAAACTAAAATTTGATCAGTTCACTAGTCCACTAATTCACTCGCGTTTGGCCCGATTTAATTCGGCACTCCCGACATTCGTTTGCACATGAAATTCACTTCCAACGAATAAAAAAAACGCGAAGCGAACCGAAAAACGGTTAACGCGAATTAAACTGTGCTGCAGATTTAAAAAAGTTATGCGAACGCAAATATATTCATGTCTCAGGCAAACCTGCGGCAAAGAGTCGAACGAGAAAACGGTGCGAAATATACATGAGACGCATATTGCAAAAGAATCTCGCGACGCGACACAAGACGACGAGTTCCGATGTCTCGATAGATAGGGTTATCTTGACACTTACAAGCGCCACTTACAAGCGCAAACAAAAAATCGCGTTAGTCGCAATCATGTGGCTTAATAGGCACACAGAAACAAACGGTTATTATTCTCTTCGGTACTCCAAATGCACGCAAAACATTATAATGCGTGTTGAGACTAAGGCTGACGGCTGTCGTTAGAAAAGGAAGCCTGGATAGGAGGCTTGAATCCTTCGTGATTCCAGCAGATGTCGCGGGTCCCGCATAAGAGGGGCCCCCTCCCCTGCTGCACTTTCGTGTGTTTTTTTTTTTATATATATATTCGTTGTACGTCCGTCTTGCACGGTAGCGTGTGTTACAAGGCTGCATTGTGGCAGCATTTTTCATAATAAAGTTAGTTTTCTTCAACAAAAGGAAGGAGACGCCGCGAGTGTTTATTTTCACCTCGCGTCACACTCAACATTGGTCCTTCGAGCCGGATCGCGGGATCCGTAAAATTCGTAGAAGACAGGAGACAACGGTCTCTGGTAACGCATACATCGCCGCGAGTCCCCAAACATTCGTGCATACGAGAAGCTTCGAGAGCATTCTGCTACATACAACAAGTGAGCTTGCACGAAACAAGGCAAGTTAGTCTGAGGCTTGCGTACATCGAATCGTCCAGCAACAAGACATATTCAAGGAAACTGCGAAAATCGGCATTTTCGTAAGTTACGGAAACCATTGCAGACAAAGAAGCAAGAGGGCAAACCACAACGAAGAGTTTCGACAATAAGTGGTAACATGAGTTGCCTAACCAGCCGGTAAATAAATACAGCGATCGGTAAGTCTCCAGAATTGCCCACCTTACCCATTTCCACATTACCTATTGTATTTGCATTTTTATCGACATCCGTCAAAATGAGTCTTGAGGATAAGATAAAGAGATTAAAGATTCGCAGGGGTCAAATAAAGGCGCAGTGCACAAGGGCTTTTAGTACAGTCACATCGGGTGCAGTCCGCGACATGTCAGTAACGCAATTATCAGAACGCAAAGCAAAAATCGAGACAGCGTGGTCACAATTCGATGAAATCCAAGCGGAAATCGAATCATTGCAAGATTCTCCAGAGTTATTCGATACGCATGAGCTTGAGAGAGCGGAATTCGAGGAAGCATATTATG